TCTTTTTTTATTTAAATCTTTCTGTTTGGGTTTTTCTCCACTTTTGAAATGATTTTTCTCCTCAACCACTCAATTCTTCTTTCTCCTCATGGTTTCTGGTTCACTCGTGTTCTCCTCACTCTCCTCTTTAACAAACACCATCTTCACAGCAGCAGATCTCAGTTAAGATGATACTCCTCCAGATATTCCTGCTTACTTCAAGTAGACTCTTGCTTAGTCACGACTGTGAGAATGAGAGTATTACAGATATTTACGGACCTGATTCAAAAACTGTATTTTTATATTTACAGAAACAACATTCCTAACCGTTTTTATTAAACCAGCATCACAACAAAACAAAACAGAGCATGGTGAAACCATAGGCTGTATAAAAACAGGGTGAAACTCTTCTTCCTCTGAGGTTTAATGGTGTTTGGCAAACAAGCGTCTGTGTTTCAGCGCCACCCGCTGGACTGGAGTCGAGAAGAGGGAAAATAATAGCCTACGGGGAAAATTACATACTGCGTCTGTCTCATTTCGTCATATTCACGATGTTTTAAATAACTGATTGAACAATTCAGCTTTATATGATTCAAGATAGTATTTCACTAGTTTGTTGTTTCTGGTTTTAAATTTTGTGCACAGGTGCATCGGAGAGGGGGTAAGTAACTGGGGCCCTCAACGAGGGGGACCCACAAACATATATTGATAATCCATAATATTATCATGATGAAATTACAATTAAATTACATAATTACATGCTGTCAGTAGTAATAACATTTTGTAAGAAGAATTTTGTAATGCAACTTTTACCAGGGGAACCACTGAATCCCCCCTGAAAAGCGATTGGGCTAGTTTTGAGTAGCAATTGGGCGGGTTTTGCTGTGAAAACCTGGCAACCTTAAGAGAGGGAAAGAAAGCGGCAGGAGCCATGAGCCTATACCATGAAGCTGGATTAGCTGGCTAGCCAGGTAAGTTTAAGTTATTTTGCACCAATCCTGGATTTTAGGTACCATGAAAGTGGCTTGGCTTTTAGCGGCATTCATTGCCATAGTATTTTACACTCCACAGCTAACCTGCTCCGGGGCAGGTTATCACTGAAGATGTGGATCTCCCGGCATATGTCTGAATGATCCATGTAAGAGGGGTTATAGCATCTAGGGAGCGTTACTTGCGGTAGCTCCTCTTCCCAGGCTATCTATGCATGCCGGACCTCATTAGGGAGCTGTGGATCGTCCCAGTCCCAGTGGTTCACCCAAAGCTGTGGCACGATCACCTTGGCTCTGGTCGTATATGGAAGGATGACCCCAAGGGGGGGGTAACAACTTCTATTGCATTACTGGCCCATTGTCGGATGTTGAAATCACCAAAGGATAAGAGGGCGCATAACTTATCTACTAACTGACATGCTTTTTGTACAGAGGGTAAACTTTGTAGACAGTTGTCCATGTAGAAGCATTATTTATCCACTGAAAATCTCACATTGTCATTAAGAGTACTGTGCAGAGCCACGTGCCGCTGGAGGGTGAAGGTGGCACAGCAGGGGCTGCACGTAGTCCCGAAGGGGAGGACTTGCCATTCATAAGTATCTGGAGGGTCATCTCATCGCAGGTCATGCCATAGGAAACGTAGAAATTGTCTGTCTTCAGGCAGTTGCAGGACCTGATGAAACATCCCACATATATCCCCACTTATGACTACACAATGCTCCCTGAACCGCAGGAGGAGACCAAGGAGAGAGGGGCTTAGAACTGGACCATGTAGCAAGGAGTCATTAAGGTTCAGCCCCTCATATTCGAAGGAATAGTTCAACACTAGGCAGTTTTTACCATTGTGAGTGATCATATTGTGTGGAAAATACCAGTTCTCTCCTGTGGCTCCCTGTCCCTCATTTAGCAGTTTGATGGCAGCACCAGTCAACTCCAGCTTCTTTATCTCAGATTTATACACCTCTGCCTTCTCTGGTGACCGAGCGAGCTTTCTTTTGGAGCACAAAAGAGGGGAAAATCCTTCCTGTGCAATAAAGGTATTGTGTAGCCAAATATTACATTGACATCAACCCATGCAATCTTGGCTTCCAAGAGACTGATAGCCTCTCGATCCTCCTTAGATCGGGTAGCTTTCTTCTCACATCGGTACGACAAGACATCGATCTGCCAGAGCCTTTCGACATCCCTCCTCAACTGTCAGCAGGGCTGAGGGACAAGAAGAAGCACTGTTGAGCTGTTAGCTGATCTATCAAGAGTCTTACAGGTCCCTGCAATGTCCACCTGAACCTTGTCTAAATAGCTGCAGGTCCTCCAGAGGGGCCTAGATGAACAGGTGATATGGGAGTAATGAGGTGAGTATTGTCAGCTCCGATTAGCAGCAGTGGGCGTACTCCCTCAAAGGACTGCAGGGGAAAGTTCTTCAGGTGCTGATATTTCTCCAGGATACTCCGAGGGTAAGAATGGTCTGCAAGGCAGAGGCGTTGGGCAGTGAAGGAAGCTGAGATTCTGAATACCTTCTGTGGCTGGGTTACTGGAGATATCTGGAAGAAGACTGCGGCTCCAGTCAAAGTTTGTACATCCTGGCGGATAGTACGCAGGGCTAGGCTTTCCTCGGGACCATGGATTCCAAGTTTGGTCGCTGCAGGGGAAATGAGAATTGTCCTCTCCGATCCATCGTCAAGAACGGCATAAGTATCCAGGGTCTTGTCTCTGTGACGAAGCAGAACTCTAACAACCTTGAGAAGAACTTTCCTACATCCCGTAGGTCTATATAAATACATAGTCTCAGTCGCTGGTTTGGAGTTAACTTCATGAAGGATCTGCAAATGCCTGCCTTTACAGATACTACATGGCTTCTTGAGGGTACACTTAGCCGCTTGGTGTGCACGCCCACAATACCAGCAGCGGTGATTCATCTGAATCCAATCGGTAATGGTCGGTTTTGTCACAATGTGGACAGAAAGCTTTGGCTTGTGCTTTGAGGACCCCTGAACTGGTTAGGGAAATAGGAGCTGGTCCAGGTGGTGGTTTGGCAGGGCCCTCATCTGATCCATGAAGTATGGTAGCTGAATGGCCGGCAGAGTTCCCTGCTCTCCCCTGGTCCGTTTGCTTAGCAGCCTCTCCACATGCGAACCACACCTCAATTCAGCCTGACCTTCATGGCCCAGAGTCTGCAGCATACTGACAAGGGATCTAATTTGCAAGGCGAACTTGTCAAAGGCTTGTCAAAGAATGTCGGGAGCATATATCACTTTAGCTATCCTTCTGAGGGCTAGCTTGTAAGATTGGCCAAACCTCTCATTCAGAGCTGCCATGGTATCACTATAAGGGAAAGGTGAGTTAAGATATGAGTCGGCTACTAGATGGGCTTCATCTAACCTCATATGATCCATCAATATCTGATAGCGGAAGAGCTCAGTAGCATCAGGAGGTAAAAGGTTCTCAAGAGCAATCTTTAGTCTGGTGAACTCACTAGGCTTGTCAAAGAATTTCGGGAGCATATATCACTTTAGCTATCCTTCTGAGGGCTAGCTTGTAAGATTGGCCAAACCTCTCATTCAGAGCTGCCATGGTATCACTATAAGGGAAAGGTGAGTTAAGATATGAGTCGGCTACTAGATGGGCTTCATCTAACCTCAGATGATCCATCAATATCTGATAGCAGAAGAGCTCAGTAGCATCAGGAGGTAAAAGGTTCTCAAGAGCAATCTTTAGTCTGGTGAACTCACTAGGGTCCCCTATGTTGAAGTCTGGACTGGTCGGGTAGGACCGCGATAGGTGCTCTCTCTCTCATCTGAATGCCAGGTAGAAGCTCTGTGCATAGGTGTCAGATACCCAGGTCTTCTTGACTTGTAGCTTTCATGAGGGTGAGGCCGGTGGGCAGCTCTAACAGGCTTAAATGTCTGCTCTGGATACCAGCTTGAATCATGGGTATAGTTACTGTAGTCAGTATAGGTGGCAGAGCTAATCTGCAGGAAGTTGGTCAGACAGATTCATCTGGATAGTTAGCAGGAAT